CCAAATTTGTTGTAGCCTCTAATAAATTATCTTCATTATGTCATGCTTGTTCTATTAGTAAAATTCATAAGCTACCCTTTTCTCGCATCCGAATTTAAAGCATCTAATCCTTTGGAATTAATTTGCTCGATTTATGAGGACCATCTCCTGTCCCCTCTATTGATGGCTTCTCTTATTATGTCTTATTCTTTGATCATTATAGTAAATACTCGTGGATATTTCATATTCGTTATAAATCCGAGGTGCTTAATTGTTTTATTAAATTTCGAAATGTTGTTGAAAATTTTTTTGGCAAATCCATCAAAATATTTCGAGTCGATTGGGGAGGAGAGTATCAAGCATTCACAAAATACCTCAATGAAAATGGCATTTCTCAACGCAGCTTCTATCCAAAAACTCCCGAACAAAATGGTTGTGCTCGAACGAAAGCACGGACACATTGTTGAAACCGGCTTAGCCCTTCTTCACCATGCCTCGGTCCCACTAAAATTTTAGACCTACGCTTTTGATCATCGCGACATATATCATCAATCGATCGCCAACACCTCGATTAGATCATCAATCTCCCTTTTCCATCCTTTTTAATACTACTCCTCCCTATGGGGACTTAAAAATTTTTGGATGCCTTTGTTATCCATGGTTAAGACCATATTCCAAACATAAATTAACACCTCGTTCATCTACTTGTGTTTTTCTTGGTTATAGTAAAATTCACAAAGTGGTATATTTGTTACAATATTTCCACCGCAAAGATAATTGTCTCACGTCATGTCTTTTTTGATGAGAAGGTATTTCCATTTGCACCCTCAAATAAAGATGCCTTGGTGTCCTCATCATCCATGCACCATCTTCAACAACTCAACTCACTCAAATTCCCCACAACTCAACCTTGCTAAAACCGATGCCACCCATATCTCCCCACCACACTAATCAGCCCCGTAATTCCCAATCCACACCAACCTTACCCCAACATAACCCGCACACAAGACCAACCCACACTCACATTATCCCAGCCTCGACCCGCTATCCTAAACCCATCGACTCACACACCTTCGGCTTTACCCCACCCGGCCTCACTAATAACTCCTCCCAACATTAACTCCACACCATCTGCTTCCCCGCGTGCCCTAGCCCATTACCGGTAGCTTCCGCTCCTCCATCACAGCCCGCATGCCCATACCTCTCCTTCCCCCACGATAGACCCCTCATCAAACATCGAAAACTCTATTCCACATCTAACCCAATCCCCACTTACACCAAGTCACACTTCCCCATTCTCCACGGCTTGTGCCACTCCCTCACCACTACACACGGACCCTACATCCAATAACCTCCATTCCTTCACCGCTCCAATCTCTCCAACACCGGCCCCGTCTCACCCTATGGTCACTCGTAACAAGACCGGTCCTTGAAACCTCGAATTTTCTCTACCATCACATCACCCATCGAACCCAAGAACTTCACTCAAGCAAATCGCCAATCGAATGGCGTATCGCCATGGCTATGGAGTTCCATGCTTTGCTAGACAATGAAACTTGGGAACTTGTCCCACTAGCAGCTCCATTACAATGTAATCGGGAATAAGTGGGTTTATCGACTTAAAACCAAACCGGATGGCTCAATTGATCGTTATAAAGCACAACTTGTTGCAAAAGGCTTTCATCAACGGCTCGGTCTCGACTACACGGAAACATATAGTCCAGTCATCAAGCCCTCCACAAGTCGGACTAATCCTATCCATTGTCGTGTCTCTTACTTGGAAAATAGAACAATTAAACATCTACAATGCCTTTCTCCATGGCCCAATTGAGGAAACAAGATACATGATGCAGCCTCAAGGTTTTGTTGACTCCACTAGACCCACACATGTTTGCAAGCTCAAAAATCCTTATATGGATTAAAACGAGCACCAAGACAATGGTTTCGATGCCTTATCGACAAATTATGCTCCATTGGTTTTCAAGGTTCTAAGACGGATATTTCATTATACTTTACAAACACTCGGGAGTTGATGTCATTTTTTGCCTCATCTATGTAGATGATTTGATAGTCACCGGCGAGCAGTTCATCCTTAATCCTCTCCACCATACAAGAACTTAAAACCACTTTTGCAGTCAAACATCTTGGAGCTTTGCATTATTTCTTGGGTATTGAAGTACACTGGAGCAACTCGGCATTTTCCTCGGTCAACACCGTTATGCGACTCGACTTCCGGAAAAGGCAAAAATGCATGGCACCGAGGGCTAAGCACTCCAGCTTGTACTAGTGTAAAGCTACAAGCCACGACTCGAATCAACATTCTCTCGACCCTTCCCTTTATCACGAGTATTGTTGGTGGACTGCAATACCTAGGGATTACCCGGCTCGATTTAGCCTATTCCGTGAACAAGGTTGCACAAGTACATGCATCGCCCCACCGAAGAACACCGGTCGGCAGTAAAAAGAATTCTAAGGTACCTTCGAGCTACCAAATCTCATAGCCTTCACATTCAACGTTCTAACATCTCCTCTATCACCGCCTATACCGACTCCGATTGGGGAGGGGATGTAGACGATAGAAAGAGTACCTCTAGCTATGCTATTTATCTTGGCAAAAATATAATCTCTTGGCGATCCGTAAAACAACGAACCGTTGCTCGATCTACTACCGAGGTCGAATACGAGCTTTAGCATCCTCCCGTGCTCGAACTTGATCGTGCCGCAATCCTTAATGACCGAAATTGGCTTCCCAATTTCATCACCCCCGATGATCAAGTGTGATAATATTTTAGCCACTTATCCGACGACCACACCTATATTCCACTCCGGATCGAAACATCTTGAAATTGATTTTCATTTCGTCGAGACAAGGTGCACCAAAACATGTTAAAAGTCGACTATATTTCCACCGATGATCAAATTGCGGACATCCTCACCAAGCCATTGTCCAAACTCCGGTTTTCCAAGTCACGGGACAAATTGTGGATCCTTGATAGCCTCGCACAATTTGCGGGAGGGTGATAAGGATAAATACTTCAAGACCTATCCTATCCCTACTCATCCGCATTCTTAGCCGTCGACATCCTTAAGCATATCGGTAGCATACCTTAGCTAGACTTTCAAGCTTGCGGTATGTATATAGTTTTACTTTAGCTAGACTCCTCGATCATCGCAAGTTAGTGTACATATATATATATGCTCGTAACTTACGAGTTAATTAAGAGAGAAATAATACACTAAAGGAGAAATATAATCCTTACAGAGAGATCTCATTTTAGTGTCAAGAGAGAGAGATCACATTTTAATCACATTTGCTAAACTAATGTCAAAAAATCATTTGAACCCAAAAATTTAAGTTATTAATTGAAGTTTCAAGAATGATTTTATTTTACTCTTTAACATACTCCCTCAAATGAAAACTCTTTAGGCTTGAAACTTACACAAATGTGTTACTACTTTATGCTTGATTATTTAATTATAAGAGAAAGTAAGTGTAGTGACACTTTCGTAACCATCATGTTTGAGCGAGTTAAAAGGCAAGATGCAAAGTCATTATTCTAGTGTTAGAGATGGAGGCAAATGGGCAAAATCTAAGTTGATAGAATGACGGTAAGTATATTTATTAATAATCGATCTTATTGAACTCAACAACTATATTGAAGAAAAGATGGCCATTGATTCGTCGCCATCAATAAGCTAAAAAAGACACTATCTCATTAAAATGATCTCATGTAAGTATGCAAATAATAATAATAATAATTAAAGTGAGATAAGAGAAATAAATTGGTAAAAATCTATAAGTTAAGTGACATAATTTGATGTGACTTGAAAGAAAGCATGATCAAGAAGACTTTGATTTTTGATAGTTGCCAAAGAGATACCACTGTTCGAGGCCAATGATGACTCGTCAAATAATCATCTCAACTCAAAACTTAAGCTAATAAGTAAAATCTCATAATATGATTTATATCATTTTATAATACATCTCAAGTAAAAATATTTTAAATTTGAAACTTACATAAACCCACCATTATCTTGTGCTTAATTAGAAGAAAAAAATAAAAATGATGAGATTCAATCTCATGATCGTTTGGTCAATAAAACTCTAATACTATATCAAAAAACCATCTTAATCAAAAAATTAAGTTATTAGGTAACACTTTAAAAATTGTTTTATATTACTTTGTGACAAGACTAATTTCGAAACCTCCAATTTTTATTCGATATAAGTTTGAACAACCCTCCAAATTTTGCATGATTATATCAAGTTGATCATTACAAAAATTGGCATACAATTTGCATGTTTAAATAAACTAAAAAAGACTATCTCATTAAAAATGATCTCATGTCGGTATGCCAAAATAATAATAATAATAATAATTAAAGTGAGTTTAAGAGAAATAAATTGGTCAAAATTTGTAAGTTAAATGACATAATTTGATGTGACTTGAAAGAAAACATTAACAAGAAGATTTTGATAGTTGCCAAAGAGATACCATCTGTTTGAGGCCGGTGATGCACTCGTCAAATAAGCATCTCAACTCAAAAACATAAGCTAATAAGTAAAGTCTCATAATATGATTTATATTATTTTATAATACATCTAAAGCGAAAATCTTTTGAATTTGAAATTTGCACAAACCCACCATTATCTTGTGCTTAATTAGAAGAAAAAATAAAAATTATGATATTCAACCTTGTGATTATTTAGTCAGCAAAACTCTAATACCATATCAAAAAATAATCTAAACACAAAAGCTTAAGTTATTAAGTGACACTTTAAAAATTGTTTTATATTACTCTCCGAGAAGTGATAAGTTTGAAGCCTCCAAATTTTGCATGATATAAGTTTGAACAACCCTCCAAGTTTTGCATGATTATATCAAGTTGATAATTACAAAAATTGGCATACAATTTGCATGATGCAATCTACTTATCTTCTCGTTTCTGTTCTCAGCCTACATTTGTTTGTAAAAGTTGCATGAACTATACACATCATACATCCATTGAGCAAATATAATTCATCGAACTGGCCTCGCCAACGCAAAATAGGCATCCGAGTTAACTGACACCAACAGCTCTATTAAAATTACCTCGTTCGGAAAGCTGATCTTGAGACCAGGTTCAATAAAGCCTGCTCATGAAATACCAGGAATTAAGCAGGCAAAAAAAAAAAAAAACAAATGATAACGGAATCTTACCAGGGGATAAATTTCGTCCACCATAAAGCTCCTTTGCTAGGGGATTGGCTGCCCAATGATTCACACCTACTCCGCTAGTAGGTTGGAAACCAACGATTTTCCCATCAGTTGACAAAACCACCTAAAATTCAACCACAAAAACAGCAGATCAATAATGTCGAATGGTTGTTCAAGCATGACAATGAAGAAAAGAGGACATGCACAATGATGTTTTCCCCAACAATACAAAAGTAATAACATCAGCACATAAAAGTTGCCATTGTTTGCACACAATCACAAAGCATACCCCATCAAACTGTATTGAATTTAAAGCCACTGGAGCCTCAAGGACTACCAATACTCCTAATACATTTCTTTTTATTTTATTTTAAGAATCAAGGAAAAGTGTGGGTCTGATCCACTCAATCATTATCCCCAAAAGACCATCAGTCATATTGTGAAATGATAAATGGGGATAAGACAAGCATGCATTATGGACTCTGGTTCTTAGAATGACAAATCCAAACCTGATGCCCATCCTCATACTTGTTTGAATAAAAGAAGAACGTGTGCATTTTTTCATGTAAAAAGCACATATTTGATTGAACAAAGAAGGCAAAACACATGAATAAGAATTAAGCCAGAGAAGGAAAAAATCAATACATTGCCCCGTCAATTTATATTTTGCATTTCTTAATCATAATGGAATAGAAGCAGAATAATGTAGCTGATTCACATTAGAAAGCACTAACAGATATACCTGAATAGGGAAAATGAAGCAAAAATGATAGAACAAATTGGATTACCTGATAACTAGCAATATCCTGTGCAGATGATTTCAGATCTGTATCAATCTTCTGCATGGAGGAAGAAACAGTTGAATTAAAGTAATTTGGTATTTTACCAATCCGAGCACCAATCTTCTTGTCTGTCACTATATCACCAGGCCAGCCAAAAGAATCCTTCAACTTTTTGCAAATGGAGATGCAAAATTCTTGCAACTATCCAGATGAAGTTTAAGTATTAGTTTATATAGCAAAATTGAACTGAAAAAAAAAAAAGTACAAAGTGAAATTTAAGAATTATAAAGGACAAATGGCTAGGCAAACAATAACACCCTCCAGCCAATCTCGGGGCATCAGTAATAGGCACAAGCAGTGCCAAACTTTTGCCAGAAAGAGTGAGTGTGCAGCCACACATCCACATACACTACACATAGACATAACAATATATGGTTGGAGCACTACACAGGCATAATGTTTTCAACATTTACATACCTTTGCAGCATCTAGAGACTCATTTACTGCAAAGTGAATTTCTGATGATGGAAGAGAACTACTTTCTTGAGCATATATTTGTCCCTTGCGGCGATGAGGAAGACAAAACTGACTTAGAGCACTGATGCTTATGAGGAAAACTCCACTTACAAGGGTCACTGACAAGACATTCATCAAAGAAGATCTCCTCTGGAAGAAAAAGAGTTGTTAGCCTGGTACCTGTGGATTCAAAATCAACTTAACAAAGGCTTCCACTATCATGTCATTGTTAGAGAGCTGGAAATTGAGGTCACGGCTGACTTTTATAGCTACTCCACAGTGTATTATGTGGTGCTCATGGATAAAGCAGGACAAAAGTGTTCTTGGTAATATGAAGTATGCTTTGTGCTAGGTATGGATGATGATGCTCTTGAAAATCTAGATTCTCATGTGTTTGGTTTTGCAAAAAGAAAGAATAGGACTCAAACTTTGAAAAATATTTTTTTACTATAAAAAATGAAATTTTTTTTTAAAAAAAAACTAGACAAAACAGTTTACATTGCATACCTTTTTGTTGGACAAATTGGTGACATTTGCAACAACACCACATGATAACTCTTTATTGGGCATTGTATATATATCTTCATAGTATAAATCAAATATTTCAGCCAATCCAACCTACAAAAAATTACATAAACTAGTGTCAGAATAGAAATAAAATCAATTCAATTCAACAAAATGCATAAACAAGATATTATAAGAAAGCACATCCAGCCCTCAGCCTCCTTCAAGCCACTCAAAATTCATATTGAAGAGAACCTGGAGGGAAAAAAAATTGTACAACATGCAAATGGCATGGGCATCATATCCTTCAGATTGAAGGCAATGACTCCTATTTTTGAAATGGACACTTCAATAAGAGTGAATCTTCGGATAGCAACAACAACAGCATATGCTCCATTATCAGCCAGAAGCCAAAGACTAAAAGAAAGAACAAAGTACCATTAACAACCAAAGGCTCAGGACAGAAGGAGAGGATAGAATACCATTTGGGAGTGGGTCAAAAGTACTTCCCACTTATTTGCAGAAGATTTTCTCCACCCTTCAAATTTTGCATCCTTAACTTTATCAGCATCAATTTGTAGCCTATAAGCTGGTACATACTCACTTGTCCAAGCACTGAACTCAGGACCACCAATTTTTTCCAACTTTGAGTGTGCTAACGAAGTCCACCATTTATACTTGCGCTTCACTTTCATTCCCTTAAATCTTTCCTCACCCGAATTAAAATTCTCCAGCAAACTCTTAGCATTCTCAACAATCTCATCTTCAAACAACTTATAAATGACAACAGAAGAATCTCTTGATACAACTTTTTGAGGCTTCCGAAACCAGCTAAGAAAACCACCAGAACTCTTCCCCAGAAGATCATCAACGAAACGCCTTTCAGTGTTTTGAAGAGCAGCAATGCAAACGGCTTCTGCAAGCAGAGATATAACCTGTTCATCCGATGAACCGAGAAAGAAAGATGCAGGAACCTGCTGATACGAAATGCATAAGAGAACTGAACCCATCAGTATCAAATGGCACCTGCACGACAAACCCATTAATAAAACATCACACAACAAAGTTACAGAAATATCAAAATACTAAAACCCTTCAGCAAAATAAAAGGAACAATAATAAGCTTTCCAACCTCTCTCGGATTTTCAAGATCCGACATGTTTCTTTCCGTTCCGGGTCTGAACAAAACGAGTTCAAAGTTCCATAACTGTTGCAAAACTACTTGTCTAAATGTCATTGCAAGAATCTTTTGAGACGTAGTGCCAGCCATAACACCTTCCTTGAAAAACCTTCTCAGTTTCGCTGCTTTTTGCTTAACTTTCGTTGCTGGCAAAAACTGGTAAAAAGGAATTTTTATTACTGACAAAAATAAGTAGCATCATTACAATTCCGTAATTATAACCGAACTTCCAGAGTTTTACTTCAAATTCAGTAATTAAGTATAACATAAATGCAGTGACTTCAAAATGTTTTAGAAGGAAAAAAAAAAACACTGACCAATCTAGTGGAGACGGTTGCGTGCTCATCGGCGGGGGCAGGGAAGACGGTGTCAACGACCATAGCAGGAACGCCGGAGTTAAGGTGTTCGGAGGCGGCGCGGCCACCATCGGCAGCTCCGGCAGTAAGAGCTTGATCGAAGCGGACGGAGCCGACTAGGCTAAGCCGAGCCAAGTTGTTCTCGAAGGTTCTGACACAAGGGAGAGTATTGCCATTAGAGTCCGCTACAAATTGGAGTAGTTGTTCTTGTTGTGAGGGTTTTGGAGAAGTACAGTGGAGGACATGGAGGGGAAATTTGGGGATGGTGAGGGGTAGTTTGGTAAAGAAAAATGTAGGGAATTTTATGGTTGGCTTGGACTTGGAGGAGAAAGGGCGAGGAGGAGGAGAAACGGAGGGAAACGAAAAGAGAGAAAGAGACTGCGGAGGAGACATTTTTTTTTTTTTTTGAAGGAAATGGCTTCTCTGGGGTTTTGACAGGGTTTTTGTCTTGATTGAAGATACGCTCTTGAACGACATGTCACTCTCTAGTCATTAAGACACTAGTCGTTTGTTAACCTTCATGTTGTAACCCATGCAACACATATTCCATGACAGAACCATTTCAGGAGTGTAGGGAGTTTCAGAATTGTACGAGGTTTCAAGTTACAGGCTCGTCTTGTTTACAGAAAATCGGAGAAATCAAAATCAATGAGCGAGGTCAGAGATCGGGAGTTGAAGAATTGTAGTATTTGATTCAGTCACCATCGGAATGGAAGATGTATATGTTATGAAAGAACAACAACAAACAAGCCTTATAGGAATGGCAACATCCCCGTCCCCGCCCCTGCTTCGCCTCTGAAAATTTTACCCCATCATCGTCCCCTGCTTCACTCGAGATAAAATTTGTCATACCATTCCCGACCCAAACGAAGATGGGGATCCTCGTGAGGTACAAACAAGGCAAACGAAGTAAAAAAATTATTAAATTTTTTTTTCATCTCCTCTTATCCTATTCTATTATTAAATTTCAAATTATAATAAAAAAATTAATAGTTCATATAGAAAATAAACCTTAAAAGTCACTAATCACAAATTTTATATAGAGTATAATTATAATTTTAAGGATCAAAAATCATAAAATGAGACAAACGAGATGGGACATACAAATATTATTCTTATTTCATCCTTATTCATGGGCCGCCCTATCTCAGCCTGTTCCTTAATCAATTCGAGAAATCCCAACATTGATCAGGGTGAAATGGGGTAGGAAGGGCCCGGCGGGAGCAAATTGCTATCCCTTAGCCTTGATGTCAAACTAGTTGGGATCGACCATACGGATTCTTTTGCGTCATTCCACACAATCATATACAACAATGGTTTGCAATGAAAAAAGTGACATTTTATACGAAATTAGATAAACAATATGCAATACAATATTACAATCCTGAAAAGACGCTACTCATCATGCACTAAAACCAGCTTCTTCTTGAACATTTGAAACATAATTCCTGTGTCAGGAAAGTGTGTTCTTTGATGATCCCAGGAGTTGCATTCGAGCCAAAATGTTCAGAAGAACTGTGGAATAATAACCTTTGACAATCGTTAATGCCATGACAGCATTAACATGATATAACCCAAAGCCTGAGTGGGGAAAACACAAGGAAGGCGTTACTCCACCTGAAATATAACAAAATTGATTGGCCTGCATCATAAATGCATATTATCGAAAATAAGTTAGCACAACAGAAAGGCTATTGATGATGATAGGTTCAGACAGGACAAAGGGAAATCCACGGAATAAAACCTCGTTGCGAATGGCAGGCAATTATTACCTCTAAGGTGGGGATATCGCTTTGCCACGTTCTTCTTCAAGCTACAAAGAAGAAAAGGATGGTCAAATCCAAAATGGCAGTATATGCAAGTTTGCAGCAGTAGGACTGTGAACAGGGCTATACGTACATTAGACTATTCTTCTATTTCGTCAAGACAATGTAACCAATCTGCTGAACAAACCAACACTTGTAGCATCTCTCTTGAAAACGAACCACAAAAGCTGCGATAATATTATGTCCAGCACTAGAGGCAGACTCTGAAGCTGCATTGATGAGAGGTGTTAACAATACATCACATGCCATTTTGGGTAATATAACAAAACGAAGGAAAGAACTATCTTTCCACCATTTTACAGAATCAAAATTGTGACAAATCCTTTTGTAAGGTGATTTTGATTGTTCCAGATAGACATCCAGTTCAGATCTTCTGGGCCTGGTTTTATATAATTCTTGCAAGCAACTTTCATATTCTAACATGTCAGAATCATAGCCAACAAGAGAAACGAGATCATCTCAGCATGTACTGTTGTTCCTATCCTTTGAATCCTCGCTATCAACATATTAACTCAAAAGCTCATACAAGACATCACGAGCAGAGGTAATATGACTGCTAACTTCAGATTTCTGGATATGCCATGGGAAAAGAAAACTCCAGAACGTCCATTTTATATCTGGGATCCAAAACTGCAGCTACAGACATCGGTAAGTGACACTCACCCCAATACTTGTCATATATATATATTTTATCATTTTGACAGGTATTGCTTGCACAAAAGCATTACTGTCCAAAGATTTTTTATTCAAAAAGTCCGATATTCCTACAATCTTAGTAAGGAATGTGTTTGCAGTTGGATGCTTGAGTCTCAATAATGCACTCTTGACATCATGAAGAGCTTTTAAAGTTTTATAAACCTTCTCTACTCTTTTCCATTCCTCTGAAGTAGGCAGCCAGTAGTAATTTTGATCTCCATCCCGGTATCTTGGGAATATTTCTTTAAATTACTATGCAGAGGTTAACATGGAATATGTTGTGGTCCAATATCCGTGACCAAAACATCTAGAAACAATTTTCTTGAAGGCAACTGCAATTGCTTGACAATGTCGCTGAACTTAAGAAGATGTTCTTCTGATAAACACATATATCTAACACCTTCACGTATATCAACAGCTATGTTCTGAATCTTACAAAGTCCATCTTGTGCCGACAGTGCTGACGAAAAAACTTGCCACCGAGAAAAATCTTTCCATTAGCTTCAATTCTATCCTTCACACTTTGAAGAAACATCATAAGCTGTAAAGTTGTCAACTGCAATAGCAGACACTTTACTTTTAATCCCCCAATCAAGCAGACACTGAAATATAGCATCAGAAATAGCAACTCCAGAGTGTGAAGGCGGCACGTCGCACAAATTCAAGATACACTTCTGCATATTCCATTCATCATCAACAAAATCTCCTGTGAGGCAAACGTCAAACACTTTCTTACCCAATCACCATATATCCACAGTGAGGCTAATTGCATGGACATTGTTAAGCATTTCCTTCAACTTCGTTTTCTCGTTCTCATAAAGTTTAAGACAACTACTCTGTGCATCCATAAGTGTTACCACGGACTCGCATTTTGCACAAACAAATTGAAAAATTCATGTTCTAGCAGCTTGATGTTACAGTTGTTCACAGCAGTAATTTCTGCAGCAGACTCACACTTTTTCTCTATCATATTTATAGCTTTTAATAATATCCTCACAGTCAAGATCAATCCTAAATGCTTTATAAGATAAAACACGCTGCTTCTTGTTGGTGCACTGACCACTTTTGGATTTCTGTATGTGCTTGTGAAATTTAGTTGAAACGCCACCAGGTTCGACAACAATATTTTCATTACAGTTACCTCATTGCACCTTCTTAACAACATTCGATAGACAAGCCTCCTTGAAATCCTTGAAAACAGCATCAGTTCTATTTCTTTTTCTCTGAGAAGGATTCAAATCGTTCTCTTGTTCATCGACATCATCATTAACCTCAACAGCATCACTGGCTCTTTTCCTCTTCTGAGATGGATTCAAATCTTTTTCTTATTCACCAACATCCTTATTAACCTTAACAGCATCACTGGCTTCATTACCTTGCTCACCTTCTTCGTTGGCATCCATTGCACAATTTGTTGGCAAATCCATCCTGCAAGGATTTCATTCACAGTTAACTTGTGTTTGAGACAAGTGGGTTCAAGTCAATGAAAAATCTACTGACTACCCCATTATTGTCAATAGCATAGTCATAAAGTGAAATTAAGCTCCAATAGAAAGCAAAAGTTGTGTTTTTTTCTTTTCTTGGGTTAAGTAACAAAAAAAAATTGAAAATTTGATTTCTTGATCATCAACTTTGCATAAAAATCTATCTCATGAGGATTTTTTTTGCACAAATAGTGTGTTCAAAACAACTGGGTTTGAGTCCAATTTAGCAAATTGTTCCAGTTCATGAAAAAAAATTATTTAAAAACGTACGAATAGATTTAAAACGAAGGACCTTTGCTATGTTCTTGGTCACTATAAAAAGATACTGAAATTGAACACCAAAAAAACCCAACTTTGAAGTCTATTTTCAACTGAACATGCATTTTTTTTCTACTGTGCTTAATTTGCAAAACACAGCATTATACAATAAAAAGCACACACAAGAAAAAGAACCAAAAAAAAAAAAAACACATTCCAAAAGGGAGATGCAAGAAGCCAAGAACCTGTGACCTAGATTACTGTGCACAATAAAAAAATATTTACATGATCAAATACATAGCACCCTAAAAAAATTATATACTTTTGTCTCTTTATTTTTAGTATAATTCTCAAAATATTTACTTGATTAAATACATAACATCTAAATAAAAGTTAAAATAGATTAATTTTGAAAATCATATATAAAAATATATTAAAAATCATACTAAAACTAAGTAGGTAAATGTATATCAAGTTTTTAAGGCCCTAAAAAAAAATAAATTAATGTTTAATAAAAATTAAAAAGTACTTTCTGATTAAAAAATAAACTGGACTTTATTAACATATGTAAAAAATTAGAATTAAAAATACAAAAAATTTAATTTTTTTCAAAGGATTTTTTGGTCAATAATAATAGAAAATCAATGTTGCACTGCCAAAAAGAACGACGTTATTAACAAATAATTAAAATGAAAGACATAACTTAATGTTTTTTAAAATAGAAAACATGAATGACTAAACGTCTCGTAGATTAAAAAAAAAAAAAAAACGAGAAATAATGTTTATTTAACTTCGTGAAAGATCTAAATTGAAAAAAAAAGAAAAGAACAGAAATGCATTTCTATCAATTTTATTACTAATAGTGTTTTTTATTCGAAATTAGATGGAAGAACCGCATTAAAAAAGACTTTCTCATACAGAGAAGCGAATTAACCAAAAAAAAAAAAAAAGAGTAGAAAGTTCATAGTAGGAAAATATAAAGGGGAGAAGGACCAACTAATACGATTAACCAAACCAAAATACATAAATCCCACATCGAATAAATACTGAAAGCGTTCCGTTTGCGTTGTAAATGTCCTATTGGGCCTTGTGTCCCGTCCCATACAGGTCCCGCCTATCTATTTACAGGACACAGTTTGACTTGTCGTCCCTCTACTAAGCTTTCTAATCATCAAAAATAGAGAATAAAAGAAAGCTAGGGTTTCTTGTCTGAACGCGAACCAGAATCTGCAGCAGGTAAATCAAATCGCTCTTTGCTCTAGAATCCATAACTAATCCTTTTTTTCTTCTTTAAAAGTTTCCATTAATTATTGGTGATTTTGTGGTTTTCATCTAATTAGCATCAAAAATAGATTTCAGTATGTTTTCGTTTTCTTTAATTTTTCGCAGATACATATGAGAACAAATTCCATGTCCATAATTATTTTGTGAATACCCAATATTGGTTTAGGGACACATAAATTTTGCTTCTTTTCGTGTAAATTTGATATATCGACAAATTTTATTTTTTAGGGTTTTTTTTTTTTTTTTTTTTTGGCAAACAGAAGAGTGAAATTCTTTTTTCTGTTTGTTTTGGCTTGGAATGGTATTGGTATTGTAGGATTTAAGTGATGGGGAAGAGGAAGTCGAGAGCGAAGCCTCCACCTAAGAAGAGAATGGACAAGCTTGACACCGTTTTCAGTTGTCCCTTCTGCAACCATGGCACTAGTGTTGAGTGCCGTATGTAAGTATTTATTTCCGTTCTATGTGTTTGTGCTGTGAGTTTACTCATGTAGGATTATAGCCCCGCCTGATGTTTTGGTTTGCTATAACTGTGACTACTTCAACAATTGATAGGACTTGTGTAGTACAGTTTAGTGAATGCGATAATGGCAGGCTCTGCCTTTCTTGTTCTCATTGGCAATGTTGCCAGTGATGTTGAATTCTGTGTTTTAAAGTTATTTACCACCTGTGATTCTGGTGTTTGGTCAAGGAGGTAAAAAGGAAAAAGGAAAAAGGAAAAAACAATAGTTTTTATTGGATATTTTCATTAGAGTTGTGGTCTGGTTGCTTGGATACTCACTTTGTGTGTATTTGTGCTGCAGTGATATGAAGAACTTAATTGGTGAGGCTGTATGCGGGATATGCCAAGAGAGCTTCAGCACTACCATCACAGGTATGTGATAAGGCTTGTTCAAGTTGTGTTAATATGAAAGGGCTGAAGATGAAATGATCATGGGCTATGGCTGCTGGATTGTGTGAGATTTGATAACATTTCCGTGGGCATCCGTGATGCATTTGGGTTGTAGTTTGATTATAAGTTTTTCGTTGCTAGATTACAACTTTTAATATTAGTAGAATCAGTTCTCAAGTATCTGCTCTCATTTTGTTGATTATTCAGAATGTTAAAACAATATTTCGCATTCGGAAATGAGATTCTAACAAACATGCAAAATCTAATGCAATTTCTTTTCTTCTTTTGTCTTTGCAGCTTTAACGGAACCAATAGACGTGTAAGTGCAATCTTTCAAGAACCAATTAATCATCTCTCTCTCTCTCTCTCTCTCTCTCTCTTATTAATATAGATTTGTTATGACTGCAGATACAGTGAATGGATTGATGAGTGTGAACGGGTCAACACTCTTGATGATGATGGTGCCTAATGGCAGGGCCCAACCACTGTTGTGATGGGAATAGAAGCTTCTTGAAGTAGTCTTTAAGCTTTCTCAAACTATGCTCTGGGCATGCATCGATGACTTCAATGATGGTGTAGGTAATTTTATGTAGGGAAGCTTCTAATAGTTTGCAAGTGAATGTTAGTATTGACAACAATTGCGCCCATTGAAATGAAGTCATTGTAGAGGAAAAAACCATATTAGTTGTATTGTTCAGTTCAGTATTGCAATGTAAATAAATTATCAGGTGACATTACTGGAATGCCCTCGGTGATTGCTTGATGTGTTCCAGTTTCTTATTTATTGGAATATTTTGTACCTTGCAAGGATGTTAGCCATCCGCTAGCTGCTCTCTCTAATTCAGTCGTCATTAGTGCTACCCAAGGGACAGCAGACGGCTGTTCATTCTAGAATTTGTGGGAACAAGGGACATTGACGAGCGTATAATGTATTAGCACGATAATCCACTTCTGAACGTTTTGTCAGAAGGATTTTCTGGACGTGAAGTCAATGTTTGCATGCGTATTTAGTGTTTTGGGAGCTTCTTTCTTTTATCTAAAATGATAATTACAAATAAGGCCTGGGAGTGTTGAAGTCTAATGTAAGATTGACAATAGGACATTCAACTTAAGGCTCGATCCTCATAGTTCAGTGTAATCTAATTGTTTACCTGTTACGGAATTCCAATCAAATATTGCATGTGAAGTGGGAATTTTGACGGAATCATTCTTGATTTTTAACGCATCCTGACATGTACACATAATTTCCTTAGGTTAAATAACAATGCGTTGAACTTATTACTACTGTTAATCCGACAAATTTGTTCTCTATTTTTTTTAAGCTACTTCTCAAACTTAACCATTCACAAGTAAAAAAGTGAATTTTCCATGCTAGCCTTGATCAATTTAAAAGATGGTTTGATTATGCAACAAATCGTTTCTTGACACGAACGCCGTGTACCAATTTACGCAAAGCAAAGAACAATGAAATTGAATATTTCCAGAAAATTCACTATTATTTTTTATCGTACTGGGATGTCAGGAAGAACAACACATTAGGAAAAAGGAAATTGCAAACAAGATTTGTAACATGCAGAATAATATTTACAAATTCCTGAGAAAGACTTAAGAACTTAGATCTAAACAGACAAATATCATATAGTCGAGGACAGGAAAGTCTTAATAAAAACATGTCTTCCATTAGCAAGATGCCAACAACAATTAGTAACATGAAGACGTTAAAAAAAAAAAAAATGTCTGTAGAGTATATTAGCAATTCTCTGCATCCACCACTTGCTATTCTGGTGGTCTTCCGCTTTCCTGGGTGAATCAGCATATCATATCAGTTGTATAAAAATGGACCGAGGAAAAACAGCCATTTTTTTTCACCTTCCATAAGTTAGAATAAGCTCTAGCTTCCACAACGGAGGTGCAGGCAGCATTCTCATGTGAAAATGAACTATGCACAATTCTGTGGCGAAAAATGAGCTTCAACTCATGTTATTGATGATGAAAACCTAAAGACCCATGCATCGCTACTGCGATGAAATTCTTAAGCTAATGCAACTAGACGACAAATGGTGCATGCTCCTCACCAATCATGGTTTCTTAAACTGTGGGAGGTAGTAGTCTTCTAGATTCTCAACGAGATAATCATAATGCGGACCTGGCCCATAGTCATATGTTTCATTGGTTGGTGCCACCCGAGTTGAACCTGAATAAACATTTCCAACGCTGACCTTAGCATTCACTTTGGTCCGTACTTTAACAGCACGCTTGTTGTCTGAGGGAAACTCAGCAGTGAGTCTTCCCATCTGCTTCTGCAGATCAGCAACTGATTCATTTGCTAGTTTCCCCTTAGCACTCTTCTTTCCATCAACAGCCTTTAATTCCAATCTATATAACGCACAAGCATCACACTTGTTGATTTCATATTCGTAAAGATGCCACTCAAAATTGTTCAGTGGTTGTGGATCCATGTAATATGATCTCTTCAACCCTCCAAATTCATTCATAACTTGCTTCCTTGATTCATGCCAACCACGGCCAGTGTAATCAGGCAATGACCTTTGCTTTCTGTTCCCACTTTCAAATGCTCTGCGAGGTTTATCAAAAAAGAGCCATTCCCTAATTGTTTCACCCTCGAGAACCAAAAGATCAAAGAGCTCTGTGATATAAGAAGAAAATTATTTGAATATACAAAAAATTGCAAAGTATATTCTGAATGATTAAAAGATATTTTCTGCTTCAATAAAAATAATAAATAGCTACTGCTCACCAAAGATATAAAGCAAGACATATTTAACATACCAGGTGCATTCCATGGGGACTTTGCAGTTGCAGCTCCCTCACATTCTGGGATACCAACATCTTTTCCTTCAGCCTTTGCACTAAGGGCAGAAAATAGAAGACCATCTTTCAGGCCAATTCCTCCAGGCCTCAGAACAGGACTCATTCCAGGAGGCCCTTCATTCAATGCTAGGGCATGATGAAAGCTGCTACAATAGTCCTGACACCATTCCAACCCTCCTAGAGCAGGCCTTGGACAATCCCAAAGGGCACATTTTGGGCCTAAGAAAGCAGAAGGCGGAGGACACATGCTTGACAGATAGCTAGAAACATGATGCATACCATCCTCCTCACCCAAATCTGTGCAATTAAAACCGGCGTAGAAGTTCTGCTCGAAATTCTCTGGCAAATCAAACTGATGGTATTCCAACTGTGCAGCTCCTTCTATGTTATTGGTCACCATGCTACGAACTCCTGAAGGGGAGTCTTTGCATTGATCAACAAATGGGAAGACATGCTCTTGCTGACCATGATTGACACCATATCCCTGGAAAAAAAGTAACCAAAATCACCAGTGAGCATCCTTTTCAGTTTTAGCCGCACACCAAAGCAAAAGCAATTAAAAATGCAGAGCATTCTCAAAACAGAAAAGGCAAAACTAAGCCATTTTAAGCTCCAAGTAAAAGTATTTCAACTCTTAAAACAAACAGACACAAGGACTACAAACAGCTTAAAACTAAACAACCATGCAGTCACCAAGCAAAGAGGGTAAGTCGACAGAAAAACAATAGTTTATACGTCATTTCATGGTTTTTTTCAACTCTTGAGAAAGAAAACTACAGCAAATGTACAGAAGAAAGGAAATTTTATGATTTGAATACACCTGAAATATAGCAACTTTATGCTGAGATAATAAACGTCCTAACGTTTCCACTTATAACCTATAAAGCAGTTACTTGAGATGACAAGTAATTTCAAGAACATAGCTCAAATGTGTATAATTCAGAGGGAAAAGACCCTCAGAGGGACACTGAAAATGAGATAAAACATAGATCAAATATGACACCAAGAACCACAAATATTTGGTACCCAAGAATTTAGAAGGATATTAACCACTCATTAATCTTACAACAATATCCCAAGTCGAGCACAGGGAATAAGCAAATGTTGTATTGTGACTTATAACGGGGCATTATTTAATCTCCTCAACCTTGTCCATCACCATCACCCATTGGATACTTTTCTAAACAATCTGTTTTTTTAACTTACACTGTGTTTAGGTTCCAAGAGTCAAACATTGCCAACACAGGAAAGCTTTGACTCAATAACCACAAAACAACAAGCAGAGTACCCTACAATAAATTAACTATTCCATTAACTTCCAGCCCTAGAGGTTTCAAATGAAATTAAGTTCTCAGGTTTTCTTAACAGCCTCTAAGAATAAATTTGGGAGAGGAGTTGACCCAAAATCAATTAAGAACAAAGTTAAATTGAAGTGTACAATAAATTCATTTTTTGGGTGTAAATCCAAAATTAGTAGATTGAATTAAGACAATCCTTTTTTTTTTCCCTCCCTTTAGTTTGGAGAGTAAATGTCCTAATTTTTTCTTTTGTCATTTAGTGTTGGACCTAATGGACATGCAGGTAAATATGGAAAAACAAAATCCTCTTTAAAAGAAGACGTGAACAATGCATGAATCCCACCATGCAACGGCCAATTCTACGTAAAATCCAAACATCTGGATCGGATTTGACATTTTTGGAATCAAGCTATAAAATTAAGTTTATTACCAAATCAAGCCTTCCACCCACAATAGTGGCAGCTGAATAACATAACTGAACTGAAATTGCCACAAAATCCATCCAAACAAGAAAAAGTCAATCTTACTTCTGCAGATTTTGGATTTAAGCTGCTCACACACTCAAGTCTGGTTTTCAACCTTGTTTAGTGATTTGCTCGACAACCATGGAAACCAAACCAATGCTATAAATATGAAAGTGATATACAAACAACTGTATCCAATAAAAGAGAGAAGGGGCGGACTTTCTGCATCTAAACACATCCTTAGTCCAATTAAAATGTGAAAACAAACAGCAATCATATTCTAGAACACAAAACTAGTTTTTGTCAGCAAAGCCTATATAGAGATCACAAAATAGCCAAACAAGGCAAAAATAAATAAATAAATAAAACACCTACCTCTTGAAAGACCACATTATCTCCAACTTGCAAGCTCTGATCATTAGGTTCTGGCTTCGGCGCTGCTAATGTGCTAGTGGCATCATCTTCTTCCTCACAAAGCTGCAGCAGCCTGCATATGTCCGTCGAGAATGACCCAAGACTACCACCCTATAATCCCACAAAGATAGCAATTCACAATTAAAAACAAAATACTATGCATTCTCATTACATGTATTGATTTATGCCAAGTTCTCACATACATACATAGTATGCAAAGATATACATGTACTCAAAATGGGATAAAATATTCAATCCTAACTTGTTGCAAAGAAGATGCTGGAGAGGGCTCGTTAAGTTCAGATTTCCATTCACGAAGCATCTGATGAACTTGCTCTTCAAGGACAGCCGCATCAACTGAGCGGCTTTCTTTCCTTGCAAATTGTAGATCCAAGAACATCCCTTGAAGATCATCAACACGATTCTTTGCCTTGTCCTTGAAAAGTTTATGAGATGCTGACTTACAATTGATCTTTGAACCCTTCCCCATCACAGTAACACTCCCTTTACTCTCCACAAAACCCTACAACCAAAAAAATTCCTTTTAAGACTAGGCAGAATAGCATTTAATCAACAATGAACCTAAAGCACACTTTCAAGTAAACTTAGCTTAATTAAAGGGTAGCCATTTAAGAAAATCCCAATTAGATTAATAATAATAACCACTATAAAGAAAAAGAAAATATTTAATGGTTCAGTATAAGTATTATCAAAATAAGATCCAAGGACTAACAAAAAAAAACCCTACAAGTATGAAAGGCAACATATTAGGTCAATAAACCCACAAACTAATGGTTGATCATTTCCCAAAGAACTAGTACTCTCCCCTCAAAATAAATACATAATTAAAGGTTAAAATGTCAATATTAAACCTTAAACCACAAAACCCAACTGTCCATAAAACCTTTTAAAAGCATAAGCAATAATAAAGTTCATTTTTTCATTTTAAATCAAAGCAGCAGAAAAACGAAAAAAAGAAGAAGCTCAAAATCACAACTAAATCAACAATCAAGAAAATCTCACTTGTCCACATTTTTTTTTATCATTAATTGTTTGCACTTCAATTCTAAACAACATGCAAGCTTTTCTATTAACACTAACCAAACAAATCAGTAAAAAGCAACACTAAATCAGTGACATAGAACCATAACAATCGATATAGTTATAGATATTAACATAAAAAAGAAAATCCAAGATAAAAAACCCTAGACTTTAACCACTTATCATCACAAACTCACCAAGAAAATTCTTCTTTCAGTTCTCACCAAGAGACAAAGAGAGAGAAAAGGAAGAGAAGTGCTCTTATGCTATGCTAGGTGTCAAAGGAATGAAGAAAAAAGCTGTATACAAGTAAATATATTCCATAAACAAAAAGTAGAAGATATGCTTCGTGTTTTTCTTTTTACCTTGATGTTTTTGGTACTAAATTTATTATTTTCCCTTTTTTTTTTTTTTTCCTTTTTGTAGAGAGAGAGAGAGTGATTTTGTAGAGAGATAAAGAGAGAGTGTATGGGTACGCGGCAAAAGCTGATTAGGTGGCGGTTTACACTACTTATTTGGATATTTTTGGTTTGGTTTTGTCCTTTTCTTTTTAGATAATTACATTTTTGGTCTTTTGAGTTGGACGTGTTTACTTGTCGAATAAGGATAGGTTAGGTTTTTTGGCATGTTTGATTTGGTTAGGCTTTAGATCGTGGCCGTATCTATGCTTACTTGGCTAGGCCTTACCCTATTTCTTGATGGAGAATTTTTTAATTCTTTTGGAATTCAATTGAAACAATAAATTCCTCGAGGATTCGATTGATTGATTCTAGTTTAGGAGTTAATTATAGATTTGTCCCCCTTTTTTTTTTTTCAAAATAAATTGATTTGTTTAGAGACTGTAAATCAAAGATTAAGATTTTACAAGGATTCAATTTTACTTCTAAAATTATCGTATAAAAATTTAAAATTTAGGTTTTCATGCATGATTCATCTTTTTAATATATTTATTGGGCTACACCCATAATTTACCCTTATTTTATACGCAATTAATATCTACTCGTATTCATTAATTTGAAATCCTTCGTATTTAAATGCATCCGATGTTGCATATATATGTATATACACATGAATTTATCTTCAAATAAAATAAAAATGTGAAATAATTTTGGCACAAAGATAAATTCAAGCTAAACGCGATCAAATTATCAGCTATTTGAATAACACATCTTTTTTTTTCTTTTGATCAAAATAAATTGAATTGTTTAGTGATTGCATGTAAATCAAAGATTAAGATTTTATGACGATTCAATTTTACTTTTAAAATTATCTTATAAAAAATTTAAAATTTATTATTATTATTATTTTTTTTTGCATCGTTCATCTTTTTAATATATTTGTTGGGCTAAACCCATAATTTACCCCTATTTTATATACAATTAGTTTATTTAGCCTTTATGTCATTAATTGAGTTAATTAAACCTTTTTATTAAATAAATGCGGGTATATAAGTTCAATTAAACCAATCAGAAAGATTTAAAAGATTGATGTCTAATTTGTAAGGATCATGTAGATCGGAGGCTATCTACTTGGTTTTTATTTAAAAAATAATAAGCTAAATAGCTAATTTTATTTTTTTGATTGACAAATAAGTAATATCTACTCGTCTTTATTAATTTGAAATCCTCCTTATTTAATGGCATCTAATCTTGCATGTGTATGTACATTTAAATGAATTTATGTTCAAATAAAATAAAAATTGTGAAATAATTTTGTTAAAAAGATAAATTCAGGCTAAACACGATCAAATTATGATCAATTTGACTAACACCTCTCTCTCTCTCTTTTTTTTTTTCTTTTGATTTTAACATATGAACTATGATGTGTTTGAATTTCAATTCATTTTATTAGATAATTATGATTACTATAGGTGGTAAGACCGTCACCAAATGAAAAGTTCGGTCAATGATTAGAAAACATGTATAAAATTCCATCAATTCCCACTAGCCATGGCATGATATTTATTATTATTTCTACTTACACGCATATATATATATATATATATATATATATATACACACACGCACGTATACAGGTTTCTAAAGGAAAGCAATTTCTACCACTTGTGTTCTTCTCATGAACACCTCCTTCCCCTTTGGCAAGAAGTTACACAGGCAATTTCTGCCAAGTGACCTTATCAACATTTAGGCATGTACACACTCATTTCGCCGTTGAAAATACAAACTTTATTGGTCAATTATGGAAGAAACCAACCAACGACACTCCCTTTCCTGTATCATGAAAGGGGAAGAATGAAAGCCAACCAATTTTCTTTTTGTGGAGAAAGATGAGTAAGGCAAGAAAGGCATAAAGGGCACGTCCACTACCATCCACCAGATTCCTATCTTGATGCCCATTGAACTTTAAAAGGTGCTTCATCACCATAACATCGATCTATTGTAGACAATTAGCATCTTAAGTCAATAACTTTGGTCGGTCTCTGATCATTATCTGAACACAAGAGTTTGATTTTAAAATTTTACTACTAGGAAAAGATACCAAAACGGAGATAATTTCTAATAATTCTGGTGATGAGAGTTTCTTGATTTTCTCTATCGCGCCATCCAATACATCAAATCCGGAGAGTTCATCAGGGAGAGAAAAGGAACTTCAAAAATCGTGTTCTGATAATATTTCAAGATTAAGATGAGTATCTACTTGTTTGTATACAGATTCTAGGGTTACATGCATTTCAAGAGGAAAGAGAAAAATGATGGGCAAACAGTTTTTCAGGCCATAAAAAGCAGTTGTATTTGTTTGGACCACGATGAATCAAATATAAAATAAATATTCATTTTATATGCTTATTAAAAATATTTATTGAATATTTAAATAGATAAGAATTTAAAAAAAAATATCTATTAATATGATTTCAAAGTATATGTATTCACTATTTATCCTATTAATACTTACTAATTTATTTATTTTTTTAATTAAAATATAAGGAGTTAATTACATAAAATTTAAAAATTAAAGATTAAATTATTTTTTTCAAAAACTTTGAGGATTGAAAAAACTTATAAATAAATAATAAAAAAAATAAGAATGGAAAAAACTTTTCTTAAAAATTATAGGAATTAAAATGAATATTTTTGATAAATTAAATTTATCAGATATTAAAGTAAAATAAAGATTTGTACAATGATTTCTTAATAGATAATGAATAAATATTTTTTTAATAAATAAAATAAAAAATTAAATTAATGGGTCCGCACCCCTTATTGCCATCATAGCTGGAAAGGATAGCCCTCTTTAGATTCAGGAATTAGGATAAATTTCTTCCTTCTACACTTAAACATGGAAAAAGATTAATGACATAAGCCAACTTGTACCGAAATGACATAAGCCAACTTGTACCGACAAGGCATGGCATTTATTCTCAAAGATCCAGACAAGATAACATCCATTTTCTGCTAAAGACTTCGAAGCCCCTTTTAAATCAGAGCAGATAGGATGCCGGTATAAAGAATCCACAAGGCTTTAGCAGAGAGAAGTAGGAAACAATAAGAACCCCGTTACCCTCTCTAGACATGCGTGTGCGTGTAAACCTGTTGTGAATGTGTGATTTTTTGCAGGAAAAAAAAATGTTTCGCATACAAAATTTGACTTATCTGGCAGCTAAAATGCTACACATTTTGGTACATTTAATATGATGAAACCTTCAACGACTAAAGTTAATTGGCAAACTTTTTCTTCCAGGTTCTGGATACAAATACCAATCATCCATGATTTCTACTCTCCCTATTTCATTTTATTCCTGCAAAAAGAACCTAAATTTTCGGTAATTGTTTATGAATGAAACAGGCCATAACCAATCCGAAAATATGATCCAAGGTGAAAAGAAAAAAAGAGAGAGAGAGGAATGCTTCTCACTGGTAGTGAGCCCTTTAATGAATTAGAAGATTGTGTAAACAGATTTTGATCCACTGCATAATTAGAATATTATGATTTTGCTGCCTTTCCATCTTCTGTGTTCAAATGTTTGAATTGAAATATACCACCAAGTCCTCGTCCCTTGGCAAGCTGCTCAATTTCTTCTAGCTTGTGTTTTAAAAGTTCCACTTCTTTTGCCAAGTCTTCATCTCTTTGCCTCATTGCCTAAAACAATGTGAATAACAGTGTCCATGAATTGTGAATACTTTAAATAAATGCCAACTATCAATTTGATAAAATGCTATTAGAAGGGTTTACAATAAAGTATTAGTTATAAGATGGTGCATTTCTGATTACCAAACCTAATCATTGAACAATGTCATCAAAACAAGTACTATAAAGCCATCAAGAGGCCGTCAATTCCTATCAGTCAAGTAAACACAGGAGGGGTGGTACCCAATGAAATGTCCGCTTTCAACTAATTGTTATCAACAGCAGACATGCAGCGACATATTTATGATTTATTAATTTAAGGCCATTATAAATTTTGTTACAACAGATCAAGTAGAGACATTGTTTTGAGCATTTGAAAATGTAGCGATCTTTATTAAGTTTGGTATTTTCAATCATCATGCCTTTCCTAGGTTATATAAAAAAAAGCAATAGAGAATGAGCAGTGCTGAAAGTAGGTAGGGATGGCAATCCAACCCGCCTCGACGCCACCCCGCCCCGTTTGGGGTGGGGATGGAGCGCAAAATTTTGCCCCTAACGGGGCACGGGGTGGAGATGTTTTTTTTTTTTTTTCTTTTTTTGGGTGAGGCGGGGATGGGGATGGCCCCGCCCCGCCCCGCCCTTTTACCTTTAAAAAAGGTCATATGGCAGGGCCCTGCCTCGTTTGAGGCGGGGGATGGGGAGCGAAATTTCGCTCCGAACGGGGCACGGGTCAGGGATGGGTTTTTTTTTTTAGGGGACGGGGTGGGGATGGGGATGGTGGTCCCATCCCCGCCCCGTCCCACCCCGCCTCATTGCCATCCCTAAAAGTAGGGAGGAACATAAGAATTGATTCCGTAGGACTAGAAAAGTTAAAGTAGTCACATAGTTCTATTCTTAATTATTCAAACACTATCATTTCACAATGTTGCAGTTTCCTTTTATATTAATTGATCAAAAGATTATTTCAGCTCTTCTCTAGAAAGTAGTTCACAGGTGTCCCCTGCTGTCATTTGGCCACCATGTATACTCATTGACTCTCATCTTCAAGGAAATGAAAGCACCAAACCATCATATTACAACCAAAATATCCTATCATGGGACATACAATACTAAAAGACCTTTACAAATTCGCAAGTCCATTGGAACTGTCAATATGTATAGGACCATAATCCAGCAAGGATCTATATCTCCCCAATTTTCTCATTCTTATGTTTGTTACTAGCTGTCTGTAGATTGGGATACACACACACACACACAAGTGAGTGAAACTAAAATTGTCCAAGAGTTATACGAAAGAAAACTTTTGTCATTTTTTGGACTAGTGTACACCTTCCATCATCACTATTCATAAATTCAGCCCCTCACAATCCAGAAAAAAATTAATTAACACTTGCTTAGTTCCAAAAATATTCTACAATAACTAAAGATAAAGAAAATACTCCATTACAAAAAGGGAAAGGACACAGAAGAACAGGTGGCTCTGCACATGGCAGCGGTTGTTAAACTACTGCATGCACAATACCAAGAACGATAAAATGTTGAATGACATCTGAAGAATCTTATCAAACTGCTTTTGCATAAAGTATACAAGTACCATGCCAAGGTGGACTCGAGAAACAAAATTAACAAAAGGATTTCATGTCAATAAATAGAGAAGATTATTAATTAATTATTACCTCCAATTCTTGTCTTCGCATTTCCTCTTTTCTGGCTTCTGATTTAGCACTTCTCTGCACCTCAAAGATCACAACAGCTCCTGCCACCTGTTCATGTTGAAATATTGAGCACCTCAGTGATTGTAAAGCACAATAATCTTCACAGTTGTCTTATAAAGGAATAAGCATGTATAATATACATCACATTTCTCATTTGTCATGCATATTATTACATATAGCATGGTGACAAAGCATTGGACTCCACCATCACCTAAATCTGGCGCAAATTCTGTCTGAATACCATTACTGAACCTCCAGGAAGTAATCAATTACAGTGCATTGCACTAGTGTTACTAGTTTCCTTTACTACAATCATATTAATGGAGTACAGAAATTCCAGCCAGATGCAAAGAATGAATCTCGTGATGTATTCAACCCCTGTTCCATTAACAGCAATTTTATAGCCTCGAGGTAATTATTCCCTCCATTAAACAGGGGAGGCTCCATTTGGAGGGCTCAGGAGTTCATGCTGTAAGCTGCACAACCACAATTCAGCACGTCTCCCAAGAGATTATCAAGGCCAAAAAATAATCTTGAGAATGGCATAAAAGTTCCTTTGGTTCAATGGTTAAACATAGGTCAGATAAAATGTCACAGACAGAACTGGTTAAATTAATGGATAGCTCAACTCAAAATGCAACTATTAATCTTGGTGCTTGTTTGTCTACTGTAGAAGATTGCAGATCAAGCCAAAAAGACTCTTCTACTGCTGATGATTTACAAAGGCCTTTCTGCATGATAAATTGAGTGCATATACATTTACATATGATCTCCCTCCCAATCTTTCCAGTCTTTCAGAAAGATTGAAATCCTCAGAAGTCAATTAAGATTCAAGCTATGCATACCTACGATGAACAATCTTGGCTTCAAAAAGGAATTTGATGTCACAGTCTACACCTAATATATTACTGATTACTTTACATTTCTGTCCAATAAAACCCAAACATGCAATAACATTTCTGCAAGGCAAGTCTCTAAAATTTTACAGAAACATAACTACTAAACAAAGTTTAATTCTTGACAACTGGGCGCAGCTTTTGTTAGTTAAGTTAGGTTTGCCAACTACAAAGACTCCAAATTTTCTTCATTGTAATCTTTCTTTTTACTAAAAACAAGGACAAAAACGAGCATATGCACCCAACCCACAATTTACACAGCACAGAAGACATTGTATAGGACAAGTACAGTTTATGGGTACCAACAAATTCAGACATATTATGCGAAGCAAAAATAAGGGGCTCAAAAAAGAAATCTTCAAACATCAAGAAGGTGACTTAGGATTGAGAAAAAAATACCGAAAAAACAAAGACATCCCCAATAAGATCAACAGCAGCCTGGACAGCTTTGTCTTCATTCAAAGGCCTTATCTCAACATCAGTTGCATGACTATATATTCTTCTCTGCATTCTTGTTGTAATTCGATGATTTGTCTGGTAATTCAATCGCAAGAATCACAATCAAAGTTTCAACATTTTATAGCTTCTGAAGTAAAAAACAATCTAAATCACAAGAATCCATTTGATTTTAAAATAATAATAATAATAATAAGTCGAATGTATGGGTATTAATAGTACCTGAGCAATGTTGACAATGAAATGACGAAACTTAGGGTGCAAAGCAGCCTGTTGTTTGAGCTTGTTAGCCAATGGTTTACTCAGTGTTTTCACGGCTAATGTCCCCAACTTCAGTAGTGGCAGCACCATAATAACTCTTTTCTTGAGTTTTTTAGAGATCTGATTCTGCAAATTTCTTCAAGTTTTATTACAAGAAAACAGATTGCACTCTATCTTTGGTCTTCTATGATTTATGTTAGAACCTGGAGTTAACAGAGAAAGAATTTCTTGGGGAAGACGATAAATTGGCTGATGTTGCTGCTGCGAAACCGCGAAAGTCAGAGGTGGAGCGAGTCATTTCTGAATGCGAATTCTGTAAGTCGACATAAAAGAAAATATTTTCTTTTAAGAATTGATGTCGATGACAAACCTTTTTTTTTAATGAAAAAATAATAAATAATAAATAATTATTCCTTGTGTTAAGAAAGGAAATAATTATTTTTTTTTTGGTTTTGAAATTAATTATTTAATTTTTTAATCAGTATTAATCACAATTAATTTAATATTTTTTATTTTATAAAATATTATTCATTAATTTATCAATATATTTATTTCTTTCTTTCTTTCTATTTTTTAAAATAAAAAATATTAAATAATTAATTTTTAAAACTAAAAAATTTAATTAATAAATTTTTAAAAAAGAGAGGGACTAGTTGATAATTTACTGGATAAAAAATAAAAGCTTCTTTTAGAAGGATAGAAACAAATTTTGGATGCTATTTAATAAGGTTTGCTTGGCATTGTGAGTGGGTGGTTTACCTAAAACTCATTGTAGGAGTATATATATATATTGAATATTTAAACTAATAGTTTGTCTCATTCTCCTGTGTTTGTAAGGAAAATACTTTTTTTTAGCAGATAATAAGATATATATATATATATAAGAAAATAAATGTTTTTTGTTTCAAGTCAGTTTTTATCTGATGTAGTAGGACACAACACGCTAGTTCCCCCCACCCCCTAAAACCTAGCTCTACCAAGCAATTTTATTTGTAAAAGTCTGACCAAAAAGCTTAAAACTATTATCTAAACAATTTTAAGATTCAATTTACATTTGGATAAGAAATTTTTTTTTTTTTTTTTAAAGATTTCCTCTAAGATTTGAACTTTGGGTGGAAGCAAATCTGTTTATCAATCCCTTTAAACTAAGTCTTTTATGATGTATTTCATTTACAATAAAAAAAATCTACATTGGTATTAGTAACGGTTAGTTGATCTATTAAATATATAACACGTTCTCTTGTGAAATTAATTTGACTTGATCATCAATTTATGGAGAAAAAAAAATCCCATATTGACCTTATAAAATGAGGTGAAAAATTTAAAAGAAAATAAGAAACTTTGCCTTAAATGAGTTTAAAGAAGAAAGATATTACCATGAAGATTTTATATATATATATATAAACAAAAGTAACAAATAATTAAAATGTTATTTGTTAAAAACGCATGACACTCCTTTAAGTCAAATTTAAATTTAATTTTTTTTTAATATAATATAATAATATATATTTTTTGTTTAATATTTTTAAATGAATTCTCTCATTCCTCAAATTTTCTAAAAACAAATATTCAATTTCAAGCCTTTATTATTATTATTATTTTAGAAACCAAAGGTCAAGTCATATTGAGTTAATGGAGTAAATTATAAATTAGTCCCTCTTGTTTTGAAAAATGAATTAATTAACCCATCTAGTTTCAAAAATTAATTATTTAATCTTTTTAACCATTGTTGACCATGACTAATTTAATTTTTTTATTTTATAAAATATTTTTTTCCTCATTAATATTGTATGTTTTTTCTTATTTTTATTTCTCTTTTATTTCTTAAAACAAACAATCAAAATATATTGAAAAAAGAAAAAAAGACTAAATAATTAGCTTTTGAAACCTAAGGGACTAATCTTGAAGCAAGAAGGACTAATTTATAATTTATTCTAACGTGGACATATGGATAGGGATGTCAATGGGCTGAGTACCCGGGCTATTAATTCAATCTCTTACCTTACTTGTTAAAAAATACTATATCCATTATCCATGAAAAATCGTTTGCTCATTTCTTTACCTAGCTCATATCTAATATATCATACTCTGTCTATACCCTATTCATATCTAATTACCCGTCAATTTTTTTTTTAAATTGAAGATTTTTTTTCAATTTTCTTTTTTTTTTTTGCTAATTTTTTTTAATTGAGATGATGAAGTTAATTAATATGAAATAGTTGTTAAAGTAAATTAAGATTTACGAGTTGTTTGGGAAGGAGATAAATTAAGAGAAAGGAAGAACTAATTAATTATATATTTGGAATAGCTAGCTTCTTAATAAAAGTGAAAGGAAACTTTCTTACCCTCCATTCCCTCCTCTTGTTAAAATGCATGCGCCTCTCTAAATTGGTGGTAATTAATACAGAGAAAGGGAATGATAAAAATAAATAAATAAAAAATTGAACTAAAAGATACGATAGTTTTCAATTTTATTTCTGGTTTGTTACGTACACCTACAACTACACAATAAAATATGGACAGTCTTTTAATTTTTTTTTTTTAAATCTCTTCTCTTCTCTCTAGTATAAGTGTGATTTATTTATTAATTTAATAAGAGTAATGCTCTATATAAACAAGCTTTTTATACAAACAGTGACTTGGATTTTTATCGTACAAAACCAATCATCCATTAGTTACAGAATCTATATTTTATCACTTAACACGTCATTTTTGTGAATCATTTTCCATTTGATAATTGCTACCAAATTGGAGTGACTTGGTTGATGATGTGGCAACAATTGAAGCTTGTGCGTGTGATTTCATGGTCCCTAAGATGCAATGTGGTATTTGGAAAATTTCACTTCAGTACATCTGATGTTGAGCCAATATATTTTTGTTCTCTTAATTTACCCGCTCATATATGCTTCGAGGATAGTATCTTTCACCATTATTTGAGCCAATTAATTTTTGAATTTACTAAAAAAAATAAAAAAATAGATATTATGGAAAATTGATGAGAAAAAAATAGTTTTCATAATAAAATAATATTAAATTAAATATTTTCAACACTAATCAATAAGACTATGTAATTAGTTTTTAAGATAAAAAATATTGATTAATTCATAAATATTCGGTTTGGCTTTAGTTAATATTCTCCTTTGTATATATAATTGTCCCACCGAAAAATAAAAACAAAGGGATCATTTTGGACTGTTTGTGGTTTTCGTTTTCAAATTCTTAAAAACAAAAACTTAGAAAATTTGCTTGTCTTAAATTTTTGTCCAAAGAAAATCAAAACCGATAACTAGCAGCTGTTAAAAATGCTTTTTGAGAAATTTTGACAACCAAAAACAAAAGAACATACTTTTTTCCTCATTTCTTTTATTTATTTTAAAATTTTGTATTTTAGTACTTTTTATGTTAATGGGTAAAAAATAAATATTAATAGAATAAAAAAATTACCCATATTCATGAATAGATTATTCATTAGTATAAATAAATAATACTATTTTATCCATAATTAACTCATTACCCATTACGATATTTTAAAAGTATAATTAATGAACAAACTGAGTAGTATACCCATTTGATATCCAGCCTACTGCAATCCCTACATGTGAAATACTACACGTAATGGGCTAATTATTTATTGCTAACCTTGTTATGAAAAAAATGCTCTAAATTGTGAAGGCAATAAATTGCAAGGGGGATTCAATTAATGCGCCATAATTGTAATTAACCCTCAATCCATCTTCGTAATTAATAATTAAATTCTAAAAGAAACTTGACATAACAAAATGTTATTATCAAGCTTTTCTAGGCAATGGGCATAAAAGTTTGCGCTCTTTAGCCCACTTAGCTGTCCTGGAGTGGAAGGAACAAGTAGGTTTAGTTTAGTCCCATCAATGATTTCAAGGTCGTGTGATAATGAAATGAAATCGAATGGAACACAGAATGCTTTCAGTTCTTTAAAGAAAGAAATAAAATGAAAAATAAATTGAACGCAAAAAATGGAACATTTCCTCCGAGACAGAAAAGTAGCACGGAAGAGAACTTAAAGAAAATGGAAGACTTCCCACTTATATCAAATGTTCAAATTCCACGCATTATCTTTAACCAAAAGGCCTGGAAACGTATAATTCAACTGTTTTTCTCTTCTCTCTTTCTAGCAGGACTGTTACAATGATCCTTCCGAATCATGCATTCAAACATCATCAGAATCAGGACAACAATGCTATCAGCAAATATCTGACTCAAGAAGGCCTACCAACGATGCTCATCTATTTTATTTAGGCAAGACCCTAAATTAGCCTTCATTACTCTTTGTTACCTACTTTTAGTTTAGTTTTAGGCCTTATATTTACCAATAGAGGATTAAACAATCAACCAGAAACAGATTTCATCCAAAACATTTACCAATAGAGAACCAAAAAAAAATTAAAAAAGAAAATAAAGGAAATGTAGCTGTGTAAATAACAGAGTAAAAATGATAATAGATACTAAAGTAAAGATATAGGACGGGAGAAGAAAGCAATCAAATTTTTGGCAAAATATTAGAGAAATATATAACTCTATATATCAATAAAAGTCAACCACAACTAATATTAACTTCATCGACAAAAACCTTCTAAAGAATAAACGCTTCTAACAAATAGGCAATCAGAACAGAAATCACATGCAATGAAGGTAACAATTATATGAAACTGTCATACATGGTATTTATAACTCAAAATCGTTCAACAAAAGCAAATCCCAACAAGTTCAAAGCTGCTAAAAACTCCCAACACTTCAGGTTCTTACTTTGAGAAAGCAATTCAGGCCATCACCATCAATTCTTATACATTCCTATGTCACTCGAATGCTTACTCCCATAGATGACATCTGTATCTTATGTACGAACATATCAGACCTTTTTTTTTTTTTTTGGGGGGGGGGGGGTTGGTATAGATTAGGTCAAGAAGACCAGAACAAATAAGATGATGAACAAAACGACCAAAAACAATATCATCATCAATTGCCCCTTTGTGCTGGCCTTCTTCATGACCATAGCCACTTTTTTCTGTCAAGCAAAAAAAAAAAAAAAAAAAGGGTTCTTGTTTATCATCTAAAAGAGTGGAAAAGATCTATTCCATATATGGCCACAGAAAAAAAAAATCACCTGAACAAAATCAAGTCGATTCGATGTAGTGTCCATTTCCGTATCCAAATCATCTATGATTTTTTCCTGAAGCATCAAGGACAATTTCAGTCCCAAAAGTAAGCAAATATCAATCTCAACTAGATTAGACAGTTTCATAGTTAATTCCAAAATTAACACCCTTGTACAAGCTTTTGGCAAAGGTGCTCGGGTAAAAGAACCACAAAGAACATCAACCTACAAGATCCTAACCTGTGCAAGGAGTTCTTCGTGTATGGTAAGGCCAACACCTCCAATTCTCTCCACACTGGCACTAAGCTCATCCAACTCCTCATCCTGTTGCCTGCAACCACCAGCAATGAAAACCCTAATGTTCTCAACCATGCTGCAACTAACTCCATAAATTGTCTACTCCAGGTTCTAGGTGTGAAAGTACTCCAACTTCATAAAGTACAGGAATACATTAAGAAAACTAACACTACTTACCATTAGATTGGAATACACAACTATCAAAATATCAAAAGTAACTCATACAGGCAAATATATGTTCATGTGCAAACATCTATTGAAGCATTCCATACTCTAATAACAAATTCATCTTGAAGAATAAGAGCATGGAGTGAGGCAGGGAGTTGAAACGCTTTACTTTATAAGAAGCATTTGTCTATCTGATTCTGATTGTATAAAATCATCATTATCTTGACTATACTGATTGGATTTGTCAGTCTGTTGAGCATTAGGCATCCTCAATAATTCTCTGCGCATCCCATTCACACTAGCAGTTCCACTAAGATTCACCTCTCTTCCAGATACTACTGCTTTCTTCACATTGCCCACCTAATAAAGCAATGCAATCCATTAAGGGTCTCATAAAAATTACAGCTTATGGCTTACTATCAATTACACTTCCAAATTTTCATTACAAGATATAAATTATGAGTATTAGATAAACAATTCTGTTGGTTAGATAATCACAGTAATGGAGGAAGGTTTGACATAGCATTTTTTGCAAATAAAAAACAGGGAATACATTCACATTGCAAAAACCTTTCAATTATTATATGGTTATTACACTGAAAAAGAAAACAACCATTGACATAGTACCTGAGCGCGAGCAGTGCTGGTCCATCTTCTCCGTTTTTCAAGTTCTGCTTCATCAATTCCATACCAAGAAGGATCTCTAGCCGCTACAGAAATTGCTTTGTCCAATTCATCCACCTTCCTATCAAGAAGCAAGCTTCAGCAGTTGCATACAGGGACCATATTGTCAATCAAATACAAGAACTCGTGCAAAACACATGTTGCTAACTTAGTTTTATAGAAGATCAATTATCAATTTTTTATTGAGAATTTATTTTGTTGGTAATGAACTTCTGTAGGTAAAAGGAACAATCAGAGAAATAAGCATCTCATCTCATGATTCTAGCTAAACTCATCTAGTCACAACTCTCTATACGACAAATCAAACAGGAAAAAAAATTCACTAACTTTCAACAAAACAACTCCAAGAACAAAATGATAAGTTTTTATACCTGCCACTCGATGCTCTCACAAGCAGCAAGCAGCTCCTTTGTAAGACGCACTTGCTCTCCCGTATCAGAAGAAATCCGTTCCCATTGGTGAAAAGAAGATTGCAACTTGTCAATCTAACAAAAAGAGAGCCCCATCATCACAACATCAGATTAATAATCGCAACAACAAACAGAAGATCAAATTCATACACTCATCTAAAAAAAAGAAAAATGCTTACAGATTCTTGAATCTCCTCCTTCACAATATAGAAAGGGTCTTGCGCTGACGACATCTTACAAGCAATAACAATAACTCAACCTACATTAATAAAACAAACTTAAATCAGCAAAATGTATACTAAACTAAGCTTTACTTTCTTAATAAGGGGCTTTCGGCAAAGATCAAATTATGTAATTAATTTCAAATATTATAATCAGCATAAATGAACAAATTGTTAGAAATCCAAAAGTAAAAATACAAAATTAAAAACAATTAAACCTTAACAGACTCAAAACTGAAAAGCAAATGGCACTGCAATTCATGGGTTTTGATTTAAATTAATAAAAACAGATCTAAATACTTTTAACCGGTTCAACGAATATAATTAAATTAACACTAAAAAAAAGTAGAAACCAAGAAATTATTTTATTTATATAACAGAGAAATTTAAAAAACTAAACAATAATTTTCAAGAAAAAGATAACAACCCATCAAGAGGATGATTCGGTTTATTAAATTAAAAGATAATCAAATTGAATTAAAATCTAACCTGAGAGATCGAACTGGTTTCCCAGGTGCTGAGTCTGGAGAGAGTTTCGACAAAGGATGTGGCTGGCTTAAGGAAGCTCCCTATTTTGGTTTTTGTGTTTTTTAGGCTGTTAAGAGGTTTTGGGCTTTATCAATGAAAATTAGCAGATGCAGGCCCATGGGCCTGGTTGTATCATCTATCCGCAAAAGCATTTTTTCTGTTTTCCTGATGGCTCTGCCTCTTGTAGGAATTAATTATTCTCTCTGGTATGAAGATGGAATTTCGATAAATTTTTATGGGTTTAATGACAAAAATTGTCCCTAGACTGCTACGATTTAGTAATTTTAGGTTTTTACTATTAATTTTAATTAATTAGACTCCAAACTATTAGTTTTTTTTTTTTTTTTTGGATAAATCCGATCCTTATTTATTCTCTTTAAGGATCAAATGGTTGAACAACCAACTCTTTCATCGTTAACATTTCAGGCTTTTTTTTTTTTTAGTTAATTTAATCAAAATATAGTCTACATAAGATTACATAGTAGCTATTTATTAGATTTTAAAATTAATAACACTTATAAAAAATTTTTGAAAGTACAAATAATCAAACAGAAAAAATAAAAGTACATATATTTATATGAAAAATACAAATACAAATTTTTTCTAACCAAGTATTTCTATTAAATTCATTTAGATATAACCATTAAATTAACTAGATTAAAAATAAAATAAAATATTTAAATCTAGCATTAACTACATTGCTGTTAATATAAATTTTTATTTTTTTCTAATCAAATATTTGTACTAAATTCATGCCGACATAACATTAAATTAGCTAAATTAAAAATAAAATAAAATATTTAAATCTAGTATTAATTAGATCATCATTAATGTAAATTTTTAAATTTTTTCTAATAAAATATTTCTTTTAAATTTATACTAACATAATCATTAAATTGACACATCGACATGCTGATCTATCACCATATGAATATGAATATTTTATTTTATTTTTAATCGAGAGTTTGTACTTTTATTTTTTTATTTGATTATCTATACTAATAGAAAAATTATGATGAGTGTTATTAATTTTGAAATCTATCGAATAGACACTATGCAATATTATGTAGACCATATTTTGAATAAATTAAATATATTTTTAAAGAAACTAGAATGTTAATGGTTAAATGGTTGACCGTCGACGGTTAATCTTTTCATTGTTAATTATAACGGATAAAGATCACATTTGTTAAAAAAATAATAGTTTTGGTCTAATTAACTCAAATTGATAGTAAAAGCCCAAAATTACCAAATCATAATAGTTTGGAGTTAACTTTTGCCATTAAATCAATTTTTATGGGTCTTCAATGTTTATATCAAAGTGCGAGTATTCTTGAGCAAACCTAATCATTTACGGTATTTATTGGTTAGATACTCGCGTTATACTGCGATCAAACAACCATTACATACGCAGGCTTAACAATTCGTATGGTGTAGTACGAATAGAAGATTTATTTTTGGTGATTAATGTAAATCAAATCTATCTATTAAGCGAAATTATTTGATTTATATATATTTATTAGCAAAATATTTAATAATATTAGCATATAAATTTGTATTTGAATAATTAGGAGGTTCTTTCAAAACATTATCTAACTTATTTTGTTTTAAAAAAAATTTAGAATATGAAAAAATGAATAACAAATAATTGGTATTATGTGTGCGGATATATAGTTAATTTCTAATAAAATTATATATATATATATATATATATATATATATATATATATATATATATTATACTTAACCGATTCAAAGTATATAGAATAAATAAAAATATATACAAATAAAAAACCCACCTAAATTGTATGAAATATAATGAAGTTAATAGATTAAAATAAAAACTACAACAAAATTGGTTCTACTAAATTCGAATAAATATATATAAAAAAGCAAATAAAACTTGTGATTTTTTAATTGATTATTATTTTTAAAAAACAATTGAGCCAAACTATCTAAAACATACTCTTAGCTCTCTCTCTTTCTCTCTCTATATATATATGTGTGTGTGTGTGTGTGTGTGTGTGTGTAATCGAATTTATAAATTATAATAATATATTTTTAAAAAATAAAACATTGACGTTCTAAAATTTTATTTCAAAATTCATATATTAAGAAACCAAATTTATTAACAAATAAAATTATATAAAAAAATAAATTTGATGAAAATTTTAATAAGAAACAAATAACCGAAGAAATAAATTTTAAACAATAAGAGTAATATATATTCAAAGTAAAATCTTAAAAAATATCATATACATTCTATCATTTTCAAAATGTACATAAAATTAAAAAAAAATAAAGATTTATTTTCTTTAATAGTCGAAGTCAAGTCCTTGAAGAATAAACTCAACTCAATTAGTGTCCGCCAAACATTTATCCGTAATAACTCTTGCAATACTCGTATAAATATATGACAGTCATAACTTTTCATGCCATACAATTTGTGTTTGTTCATATCTATACATTTAACCATGTTAGACACATATTTATCGGGGAACCTAAGTTGTCTAATCCATTCAAGCAAGACCATTTTCTATTGTTTATACAACCTAAAACTTGCTTTTCATCCATACATTTAGGATGACTAATAGCAAATGTAGCAAATTCTTCAATCTCATTCACAAAATCCTCATTTAAAAGCCCATTAGTTAACCTAAAGTCCATCCATATACGATTAGACCTTATGTTTTCCTTGTAATTATTCGAGCCAACATACAATTACTTCATTACCAATTCTATTAAAAATCTAATAAAATTTCAGTAGAGTCTTCCTTATAAATTAGACGTTTCTCAATTCCAAGAGACTCCATCCGCATAAAAAACGATATATCCGGAAAACACAAAAAAACACATGTAAATATTTTTCAATTAATTATCTTCACACAAACATCACCCAAAAGTCACATTCAAACAATCAAATACATTAATTAATGCAAATTGAGACCGATGCTTGCCTCGGATAATCCATTAAATTAAATCCTAACTCTTCCTCTCTCGCTCCATCGCAAAGTATTGAAATAGCCTTGTTTCTCCTCAATTCCTAAAGTTCTCCGACCCCTCGGCTTCAATACGCTGCGATGTATCTTGGTATACTTTAACAATCATTAGTAAAATAAAATGCAATATCAATTATCATAACTAACTTAAAATTGGTCTATGACATAAATTATAAATTAGAGTTTCGATAACTTACGTTGTGAGTAGGAGTGGCTGGAAAACTACTAGAGCGAGTTGAAGTGATTATCGACAATGCTACTTACTAGTTGCAACCATTTTGTATATAAATAATTAATAATATAGTTCATACAATAACTAATTATTTATCTATATCAAACAAATTTAACCAAAAATTAATTTATCAATTTTGAAATCTTAAGTTTAAATAATTAGATATTATGTCAATTTTTAAATATCACTTTAATTTTAAAATTAATGTGTTATTTTAAATTCAATAATTTAATTATCAAATGACTCCACCTTTATTTTTAATCATTGTATAACAAATTACATACTCAAAATTTTATCCTAGTTTATCAACACCCAAACCTAATTAATTCAAAACAATTCTAATAAATTTTAAATAACATAAATTGAGTTTCTTAGCATAGTTATTAATAATTAACTACATACATAAAAATGGGTAAAATTTCAAACGCCCAAAGAATAGTAAAATCAAGAGTAATACACAAAACCCACACAAATTAAATATAAAATATGAATTAGTAGAAAGAAATATATCTAATTAGGCTTCTCTTTAAATATATATAGAGAGAGAGAGAGGAAACCATGACTATTTTGGAAAAGAAGATGATTAAAGTGGCTAGAGATTGATGGAGAGTGGAGGAATAGTTTTGTGAGGTACTTTTGGGGGTGTTGTTGGGGGCAATGAGGCTAGGAGGTGGCTACGAAGAGAGGAGGAGAAGGAGAAAGAAGATATAACCCCTCAAATTTAAAACATTTTTTTTATGTGTCGGTAATTATTTATATATATAAATATCTATTTAAGGTATGAATTAATATTTTATGCCTACATAGAAAATAAATTAACGCATTCATAAATATTATGAGAGGTAAATAAATTATTTAATGCTTGATTCGGTAAGTTATAAGATTAATTATTGACATTACAATAATTTAATAGTGTAATTGCAAGACTTTAGGAGGTTTAATCACCACAATTAAAATATTGGCTACTTGATTAAAATCATTAAAAAATTTAAGTAACCATTACAAATTAGGAAAAAGGCTAGATTAAGGGTTTGATTGCGAGAAAATTAAAAGTTTTGGGACCGAAATTGAAGGAGGTGATTGAACTAAATACAAGTTCATAGACTAAAATGTAAAATTTTAGCAAATTATGAGACCAATTAATTTAGCTAGAATTGGCCATTTATATCTAGATTTAAGGTAAAATAAAGAGAAAGAGAGGGAGGATTTAAGTCGACCAAAAGAAGAGAAAATAAGAGAAGTATCCAAAGGAA